AACGTGTCCGAAGAAATGCAATGATCTCATCCAGTGTGCACTCGCTCCTCCTCTTAGGAGGAAGTGATAAAAACCGTTACAGTTACCCAGAGACAGGAATTCGGGTGGATGAAGCAACAAATGTCGACGTGAGTTGTGTTAGCTTGTCGATGGTCAGGTTACTGGTTTCCTGCTTCATGATTAGTTAGGCAACAGTTATCTTCAACGTTTCGATTTTGAACGATCAATCTTTTATTTCTTTTTCGAAGACTCCACTAGCATACGCCGAAGGATGGTCCCTTATTTGGGTCGTTCTAACGTTTCTTCGTTCCAGAAAGAATACAGGAAAACTGATTTCCTTTGATCAAGAGCATCGAACGGATTATCGTTGATTACTATCGTTAACCTGCTTTAATATTAAATAATTCTTGTACTGGAGGCAATCGAGAATTTCCGTTTTATAAAAAAAGAAGACACGACAACTCTTTTTTCACAACCCCTTGAAAAAAAAATTATTAACCACCGTGTTTAAAATAAAATTAGGCCTTCAAATTTTTAAAATAACATGGAAAGGGATAATAAAATATTTGTGAAGTGAGAATAATAGAAATCTGAGATTAAAAAATTGTTGACGTCAGCAATCCCTCATCTTAGGGTTAATTAGAAAATACGAAAAGTCCAAACTAATTAACATTCACGTGTGTACGTAGACGAATGTCTCTGTATAAAAAGCTTTTGTTGTACAGTAGTACGTAAGTTGTAACGGTACAGGCCACTTTCATTTGTACGCACGTATCTAATACGAGGCGCACATGTGGGTTGGCGCCGAACTACGGTACAGTAAAATAAAACAGTCATTTGGAAACAAAAAGACGATCGTACTAAAGTAGAACTAGTTAACAGTAAGGTCACAAATACTTGATTTAATTGACGAATTAACTCGTCTGTATCTTATTCAAAAATTCCACCACGAAACACAAAAAATACATTGAATAGGGTGTTAATGATGATGTATCAAAAGCTTTACTGGATTATCGATTAATTTTTGGGTATATTCGTGATCGTTTAATATCACTTATTTGATGCGAAACTTCTAATATAGAGATTGATATAGAGATTAAAGCTGGTTCAATTATCAGTCGAACATCAAGTGGAAAAGAACGGCACGAATATTATCGATGCTTTTTCCGGTTCGATCGTGTATTACATACGAAACGAGGCGATATCATCGAGAGAATGACACTCATACTAAAGTCGTACCGTTCGTGAAAGTTTGAATTCTGCTTAAAGGAATGAGTGGTACCGCTATTCGTGAACGACATACGGTTCACTTTGGCAAATCAGTGGCAACGAGCTCTGAAATACCTTTCCGTCTACTGTACGATAAACGTGTTCCCGTTAAAAAAGAGCTACTACCAGTTTCAATAAAAATTACAATAATTCTCTGATTTCAGTTTCTCCAGTAGTTTGCAGTTCCTTTCGAGTTCATTAACATGTTGGCTGGCAGAGTGAAAATGGCCATGTGTTATAAGACATATTGCAAATTTAATTTAATATACTATTAATGCTATACAATGTTTCCCTTTTATTAATTATTTAACTACCATATATAAGATTTGAATTCCTGAATATCGAGGGTCCTCGTTTAAAAAGGGAAAACTTGCAATGATTTACCGAATCAAAAGAGTATCCTCTTTAAGTGTTCGACAACCTTGAGACCGATTGATAACCTTACCTTGACTGATACCGGCGCACGACTGCAGCGATGAAGACTACTCCGTTGTCAGACTCCAAGAGACATCATCCCCCCAGCGATTCCTGAATTCTCACCCTGCGGAAATACTGTCGTGGCTATTAACCGGTCCACCTGACAGAGAAGTCACCTGAAACCCCTTCGAAGCACGATACCCCGTGCCAACACCGTAGAGTTCAGCCCGAGTCCCGTCGTATTCCCGTTGGAGCTTGCGCGTAGAATCAGACCGGGTCTCATCGGTCGACGTGAAGAGAAAAGCTCGCGACGGACACGTTAACGGTGTATATTTATTTTTTTTTCTTTCTTTTCGAAAAACTGTTAGATCCGAACGAAAAGGATCCGTTGACAGGATCGTCGAGAGCACGACGAAGGTGTCCACGTAAAGAGAGCCAATGAAACTCAAGCTGATCGCCGCAGCTCGCCACCGATCGAACTGGTTTCAGGTCCTGGCCGATGTTTAACGTGGTTCACGACTTCTGGATCACCGATCCAGGTGCTCTCGACTGCGCTCCGTATGCACGAATCCCGGCAAGGCGCATCGTTTGCTCGTTGAACGGGACCCCACCACCATAGAACGAAGCCAGGCTAAACTACAGGACAATTCCGCACGGTAGACCGTGCCAGGGTCGAGGATACACCTCGTGACGGGGACTTTAGCAGCGGACTCGAGGTGAGGTGGTGGCAATGACCGTTCTCCTCGGTTGCTTCTCTTCTTCCAAACGTGCCTCCTTTCCTTCTCGCTCCATGGTACCGACTTATTCGTGCCTTCTTCTTTTCCTGGGCCCTATTGGTCGACGCTCTTCTGGCCTTTTCATAGCCCGTACCCCCTCTTCGACCTGGTTGTCGTCGCGCAGAGGTCGCCGTATGGCCGAAGGAAAAGACATTGCCTCTTCTTCGCTATTATCCTTGCCTCCCTTTTTTTTTTTGCTCTCCCTCCACGTTCTTACTTCTTCCTGATCCTGATCCCAGAGTCCTTTTTCCTTCGCTCCGACTACGGATCGTTGTAGATTACAGGTAAGGATTTTTAGGGGTCCTAGATACCTGTGGTATGTTTCGAGGGAGTCGTTTGTATTGACTTAATCGGGTGTAGCTTTCTCACTGTAACAAATGTGTATTAGCAAGTATTACTTTTTATAAGAATTTTATTACTTATCCCATATTCGTGCTGTTTTTAAATGAAAGCTAGGATTTATTTCATTCTAAATAAATCAGAGAGTTACATTGTGGTACCTGCTTGTGACTTATCTTTGGAAGGTAAGTCTTTCACCTGTCGGTCGGACAGGTGTAGTGGACACAGCGCCATCGTACATTGAAGAATTCCATCCGAGTTAAGTTCTTAATTTAACGTTGCTATACTTTAATCATTTTGAAATGTAAAATTTTGAAACTGTATGAAAATACAGATAGTCGTCAGCGTGATCTATCAAAGATATAATTAATACGATATGATGAGTCAGTTCGTATCAAAAGGTGAAAGTTATAAATTAACTAAGCGATAGGAATTGATAACAAATGTTTAATGAAAGCATTACCTGAATGATAAGAGAGAAGAGTAAGCTTAGGATAAATATACGCATACAATTTTCTGATCGCAGTATTTCTTAAACTAGCATATTTTCGTTACCTTTCGATGCAGAACGTGATATTCAGACACCTGTGATTATAGATATTTGAAAATTAAATTTGAGAAAATGTTAACAATTGACAATTTAAGGAAAGATAAATAATTTGTCGAGCGACACTGAAATTTATGGATCAGATTAAAACTAACAAACGTGAACATATGTTACTATCAATCGAACCGAGGGGACAAGTTATCTGAATGACATTAAATCTTTGCTTGTACGATGATCGCGATTATTTATTGAAGATTTTCTTGTATCAGCCTGCGGAATGCATACTGAAAATCGAACACATTCATGGATTATACCTTTATTAAAGTATTCATTAACAGGTATATTCACAGATTTTAATAATTCACTGAAGTTAATGAGAAAACTGCAATCAACAGTGAAATAAAAAAATAAAAAAATCATGAATTTTCATTTATATAGTTGCAGAAAGCCGTGAACGGATTAAACGAAGTTCCCCGATCAGATTCTGTATCCTGAAACTCCGGAAAATGAATGTACGAAGCCCGGTAGGGTGTCCTTTTATTAATATACTTTTTTTTTTCTCTTCGTTCATTCATCGCAATCGTTTATTCTGTTTGCGAACGTGTCTGCATTAACGCTTCTATCAACATGAGCATCACGACTCTGTCGAAGCCACGTGTGTGAAGCATTACGCCTCCACCGATTTCGTTTTCGACGCGAACAGCTTTCTTTTTGTTATCGATCATTCCCAATTTTCAGAAGCTGTCAGCCTAATTTAATGATTTTCAGATTGACGAATTCAACAGGCGGATATATCTATTCGACCTGGATGTAACGCGCATCATTAGTTTGGATCGTGTTTGATTAAAATCTCTATGAAAATTGCTTAGACGTGTTTCGAGATACTATAGAATATCTTAGAATTGAAATTCAACGTTTTACTTAATTTGGAAGGTATACAAATCTATGTACGTAACTTTATAAAACGCGAGCTAAAGTGTGTCCGATGCTTCGCGAAAGTAATATCTCTCTTTACATCCGAGAAGATACCTTGTGAGAACGTTTTATAAAAGTCTGCGGTAAATCCCCGTTTCAAACCAGTCTGATTACACTTTTGCGAGACTTTATTGCTTGTAAAGATGAATCTGACGGGGAAAAAAATGCTATGGTGTACTGTTAACGTAAACATCTTTTTTCTTCGACCTATTCTCACCCCATCCTCTCTAGCATATTTTCATTTCAATTATTTTTCAGTCATAATTCGTATGTGCTTAATGAAAATTTGCATTGCTATGCATCAACATACTTAAGTTTCTTAAACAGTAGGTACCAGTAACTGACTGAAAATTATGCTTTACATTTAACCAAATTCATAAGAATTCATGATCCTCGTATACAGCGAGCAAAGAGATCGAAGAAAAAAAAGATCCATGAAAGGATAGTGGGGAGGATGATTGGTGGGGTTGAACCTTGTGGATTGGCTGCGCGATACAGAGTTTTCAGCCGAGGGGATGCGTCAGAGAGGGTACGTTCTCACCGATATATAAGCTCCTGTCTGCAACACGAACAGCCGATACGATCTAAAGTCCTGAATCATTCGACAGGATACGGAGAACCATACGTTGGAACGGATTGATTTATCGAATTCTCAAACGTGATTTTCTTGATTGATCGGTGAGTAAACGTGTCCTTACAAGGGTGAAATATAACGAAGAATCGTGTGTCATTTGTTGCAATTGTTACGTGTCGTGCTATCGGTTTTTTATCGACAGAAGCTGGATCACGAAATAATAAGGGAAGGTGATTGATCAATTAAATGATAATTAATTTGACATTAATGACCGATACGGAACAGAACAGTACCAATTTTTTTATTACAACTTGCCATTATTATGTACGAAATTTTTGCAATGAATTATTTTCAATCAATTATAATGACTTCACGTCGTTTGAATTATTCAAAGTATCTATTGTGTATTAAACGACTTCGCGATCAATTTTACCGAACACCGTCTCGTTGACACACTATTTCCCATTTCATTTGATTTCTCAATCAGGCTGCAGATTAATGAATGCATCGACGTACTTGTTCACCCATGAAAATACATTTTTCATTATCCGTCACGTCTGAAATTATAATTTTAATTTATTTTTCGTACGAATTTCTTGAAAATCTAATCGGTTTCCCGATCTTTCAAAACACATCTCTTTTCGATTAAATCTTTCGGGTAATTTGAAATTCCTAGAATATTCATCTAATATTCATCCCCTAATTCGAGCAATTTCGTCGCTGGATTAACGAGCTTACGGGGATATCTTTTATGTACCTAGTTGTTTTTACCTAACGATGTATATTCTTTCAATCCACGGACCTCTATAAAACGAAAAGTGTTGCTCGACCTTATGAAAAACCGTTGATACTGTCATCTTAATGACTCGTAAAGATCGCTTCATTAACTTCTCGGTCACCCTCGTAAAGATCTTTTTCTTCGTCAATTGGAAGAGAATTTTTACAAAATTCTGTTTTCAAATTTCACGATCTACAACATTGATTAAGCGAATCATCAATTGAAATAAAACTTGAAAAATTCAGTACGTTCCTTTATAATTTCATCGATCAACTGAATTTTAATTGACGCGAAACTTTCGTTACCGTTGAAGTTGTAGCAAACAAGCACGATGCAACAGGTAACTCGACTTCATGTTTGGCTTCCGTTTATATTAAACCTCTTCTATTGCATTACGAGAGTTATTACGAGGTAACTTTTCAAAATCGAGTTTTCAACCAACGTTTTCACGTGTTGTATTTCATCCTACTTCGTTTCACGACACGCTGTTAATTGAATTAGTTTTCAAAATGCATCCAATTTATAGTAGATCGTGACCGTTTTCGCAAATCTGGATGGAAACAAAATATCACACGTTGTAAGGATCAATTAATTGCTTAATTAAGGTAGATAAAGAAACTGGTTTGTACATACGGCTTCTTAGAACACGATTCGTACCATTTGTGGTGCCATAATGGTTGATATGACAATATTTGAACCATCTTCAAAGAAAAGATTATTGAATCAACTGTATCTAGACTATAATTTATTTGAACAGCTGTTTAATGGTTTGCGATAATTAATTCGATGTCCCTCGATACATTTCATTTCTTGTGTAAAACATTCTCATTAAACGTGTTTATATTTAACAAACATAAGAACACTTTTCTATCTATTCAACGGAATTTTTCTTCTTCAGTTAACAAGAGCCGATTATCGCTAATAAAAATGCAATCCACACGCACTACGAATACCATCTACATGTTCGTCGTTCTGTTGACTTTTGGAATGGCGATTGTACACGGCGAACCGCAACCAATGGCTAAACCGACGCTTCCGGGAGAATTTAAGAGCGCGGAAGAATTAAGTAGATACATTAATCACGTGATAGACTACTACACGCTTAGCGGAAGAGCCAGGTAACGATGAAATATAAAATAACGAATCTTTTAACACCGACGCAACAAAATCACGCACCCTTTATTTATTTACCTTCCCACTTGATTTTCAATTTAAAAGTAGCCGTGCATCCAGTGCCAGTTGTTTTAATATTGAGGGGAAGAAAAGAAATTGATAAATTTAATTGCTTATTTTCGAACCTTATCTACCCTTAATCCTTTTCAATGTCGTAATGCGAATGATGATATGTAATCAGGTATGGAAAAAGGGGAAGCATTCCGTTCTCTGAATCGGATACTAATGATGGATGGGATACGGTGAGAACAATCCTGGAGATTCCACAATCATCGCAACGAACGAAATTCGAGAAACGAAAGCAAGAAGAGAATCGATTCATTCGCGAACTCGAGAACTCGAACAATAAAAAGCACTCTTCAAGGATCGATGTCCGACCATGTCATACGCTAGACATAGTTGAACGATACTATGGTGATGTGCAATAAAATGATTGTATGTATTCTTGTATTTCTAGCGTACACACACCTCTTTGCCACTGAACGCACGATTGTATTTTCCATTTGGATTTCTTTGTCAGCATTAGCTCGTGGACAATTGATTTTGGATTTGGAAAGATGAGCGGATCAGAACTTTTGCAATCAAAACGTAAATGGAAAATGAACGTTCATTGTTTCACTAAGTTCTCTGCGAAACAAGATTTACAATAAAAAAAAAAATAAATAAATTATATTGCACAGTATTACTTTTACTTTATTGCCAATTGAAAAGCACTGTACGACGTGTGCAATAAAATATTACTACCATCATTTTAACGATTCATGAAATACATTTAACCTTAACACGTCGATTAACACATAAATTAAACATATTTAGGCGAGACATAGTAATGCATAACTTGGCCTTAGAAAACTCAATGATCCTATCTATTATTAATATAATTTTCGCGGCATCGTTGTTCTACTGGATCAAATATCAACCTTCTGCCATTGAACAACTGACACCCCATTAGGAATCCATAACGACCCAAGCATTTGTAAAACATATGAGAATCCGTTTCGTGAGCAACATGATGCGTATATGTAGAATTATTTTTGCCTCTGCACTCTTTTATTAACTTGATAGGGTCTTTATCAGCTTCAGCATTTGTCAGCATTTGTACTGCTGCGATGACAACAATCAAAAGCAGCAAATCTGAAATTTATAAGTAATAAGATTAGTTCAACACGATCCGTTTTAAGAAATAAGCATAGATTTTTACGAGTGTGAGAATGCACGTAAATAATGTAAATGCAGTTACATACTTATTGCATTTACAATAGCAATACATAGCTGCAGTCCTTTCATCGTTTTGTTTCTTTTTACGAAATATAATTCTGAATCTACTTACATTTCATGATGAGTACCTTCCACAAATTGAAGTTAAAAGAATGTTACCAGTAATTATAAGCTTTCTGGTTTCAAATGATAAATTAATATCGCGGAGCAAAACTTTTATAGTCGTCTCGCTATTATTGTATCAGCTGCAATCCTATTAATTATCATATCAGCTGTTACCTACTCATTAATGATGGCCAAATTTGTTCTTAATTAAAATACCATCAGCCTAGAAATTATTCGTAAACGAATATGACTTCGATAATTCAGTATAAATTTATTCAGAAGTTCTTGGTTATCAAGTGGTACCACTTTGCCCCTCCTACAATAATTACTTACTGTGTAAGTATGGGTACAAAATTTTTTGAACCACTGAATTTCGGACCAAACAGGGGAGGCAGTTCAACTTAATAATATTGCAAAGTTTTGCCTCATCTCCATTAGCAATTAAAGGATAATACATTGTGCCATCGAAACAAGAAAACACATAAACAAAGGACTGTACAAGTTACTGTTACAACAACCTAGCATTTAAGGGAACATATTGTGCAGATTGCACTGTGCGACCTTATTCTCTCAAAGGCAAAATATAAAATCGCAAATTGTGGAGGTTAGAGCTGACGTCGATTCAGACAAGCTAGTTGTTGGCGTATCTGTAACAGTTGCAGTTGACGATGGTTCTTCAGTCCTCCCTGTTGACGTGGGTGCTATGGAGGTTTGGGCTGAAGTCGATTCGGTCGAACTAGTTGTTGACGAATCAATAACATTTATAGTTGACGATGGTTCTTCAGTGCTCCCTGTTGACCCGGGTTCTGTGGTGGTTTGAGTTGACGACGGATGAGTCGAACTAGTTGTTGTCGTGTCAGTAACACTTGTAGTTGACGATGGTTGTTCAGTGCTCCCTGTTGACGAGGGTTCTGTGGAGGTTTGGGCTGACGTCGATTCGGTCGAACTAGTTGTTGACGAATCAGTAACATTTATAGTTGACGATGGTTCTTCAGTGCTCCCTGTTGACGCGGGTTCTGTGGAGGTTTGAGTTGACGACGGATGAGTCGAACCAGTTGTTGTCGTGTCAGTAACACTTGTAGTTGACGATGGTTCTTCAGTGCTCCCTGTTGACGCGGGTTCTGTGGAGGTTTGAGTTGACGACGGATGAGTCGAACCAGTTGTTGTCGTGTCAGTAACACTTGTAGTTGACGATGGTTCTTCAGTGCTCCCTGTTGACGAGGGTTCTGTGGAGGTTTGGGCTGACGTCGATTCGGACGAATTAGTAGTTGACGTATCTGTAACACTTGTAGTTGACGATGGTTCTTCAGTGCTCGCTGTTGACCCGGGTTCTGTGGAGGTTTGAGTTGACGACGGATGAGTCGAACTACTTGTTGTCGTGTCAGTAACACTTGTAGTTGACGATGGTTCTTCAGTGCTCCCTGTTGACGAGGGTTCTGTGGAGGTTTGGGCTGACGTCGATTCGGACGAATTAGTAGTTGACGTATCTGTAACACTTGTAGTTGACGATGGTTCTTCAGTGCTCGCTGTTGACCCGGGTTCTGTGGAGGTTTGAGTTGACGACGGATGAGTCGAACTACTTGTTGTCGTGTCAGTAACACTTGTAGTTGACGATGGTTCTTCAGTGCTCCCTGTTGACGAGGGTTCTGTGGAGGTTTGGGCTGACGTCGATTCGGTCGAACTAGTTGTTGTCGTGTCAGTAACATTTATAGTTGACGATGGTTCTTCAGTGCTCCCTGTTGACGCGGGTTCTGTGGAGGTTTGAGTTGACGACGGATGAGTCGAACCAGTTGTTGTCGCGTCAGTAACACTTGTAGTTGACAATGGTACTTCAGTGCTTCCTGTTGACGAGGGTTCTGTGGAGGTTTGGGCTGACGTCGATTCGGTCGAAATAGTAGTTGACGTATCTGTAACACTTGTAGTTGAAGATGGTTTTTCAGTGCTCGCTGTTGACCCGGGTTCTGTGGAGGTTTGAGTTGATGACGGATGAGTCGAACTAGTTATTGTCGTGTCAGTAACACTAGTAGTTGACGATGGTTCTTCAGTGCTCCCTGCTGACGAGGGTTCTGTGGAGGTTTGGGCTGACGTCGATTCGGTCGAAATAGTTGTTGACGAATCAGTAACATTTATAGTTGACGATGGTTCTTCAGTGCTCCCTGCTGACGCGGGTTCTGTGGAGGTTTGAGTTGACGACGGATGAGTGGAACCAGTTGTTGTCGTGTCAGTAACACTTGTAGTTGACGATGGTTCTTCAGTGCTCCCTGTTGACGAGGGTTCTGTGGAGGTTTGAGGTGACGTCGATTCGGTCGAATTAGTAGTTGACGTATCTGTAACACTTGTAGTTGAAGATGGTTCTTCAGTGCTCGCTGTTGACCCGGGTTCTGTGGAGGTTTGAGTTGACGACGGATGAGTCGAACTACTTGTTGTCGTGTCAGTGACACTTGTAGTTGATGATGGTTCTTCAGTGCTTCCTGTTGACGAGGGTTCTGTGGAGGTTTGGGCTGACGTCGATTCGGTCGAAACAGTAGTTGACGTATCTGTAACACTTGTAGTTGAAGATGGTTCTTCAGTGCTCGCTGTTGACCCGGGTTCCGTGGAGGTTTGAGTTGACGACGGATGAGTCGAACTACTTGTTGTCGTGTCAGTAACACTTGTAGTTGATGATGGTTCTTCAGTGCTCCCTGCTGACGAGGGTTCTGTGGAGGTTTGGGCTGACGTCGATTCGGTCGAAATAGTTGTTGACGAATCAGTAACATTTATAGTTGACGATGGTTCTTCAGTGCTCCCTGCTGACGCGGGTTCTGTGGAGGTTTGAGTTGACGACGGATGAGTGGAACCAGTTGTTGTCGTGTCAGTAACACTTGTAGTTGACGATGGTTCTTCAGTGCTCCCTGTTGACGAGGGTTCTGTGGAGGTTTGAGGTGACGTCGATTCGGTCGAATTAGTAGTTGACGTATCTGTAACACTTGTAGTTGAAGATGGTTCTTCAGTGCTCGCTGTTGACCCGGGTTCTGTGGAGGTTTGAGTTGACGACGGATGAGTCGAACTACTTGTTGTCGTGTCAGTAACACTTGTAGTTGATGATGGTTCTTCAGTGCTTCCTGTTGACGAGGGTTCTGTGGAGGTTTGGGCTGACGTCGATTCGGTCGAAATAGTAGTGGACGTATCTGTAACACTTGTAGTTGAAGATGGTTTCTCAGTGCTCGCTGTTGACCCGGGTTCTGTGGAGGTTTGAGTTGACGACGGATGAGTGGAACCAGTTGTTGTCGTGTCAGTAACACTTGTAGTTGACGATGGTTCTTCAGTGCTCCCTGTTGACGAGGGTTCTGTGGAGGTTTGAGGTGACGTCGATTCGGTCGAATTAGTAGTTGACGTATCTGTAACACTTGTAGTTGAAGATGGTTTCTCAGTGCTCGCTGTTGACCCGGGTTCTGTGGAGGTTTGAGTTGACGACGGATGAGTGGAACCAGTTGTTGTCGTGTCAGTAACATTTATAGTTGACGATGGTTCTTCAGTGCTCCCTGCTGACGAGGGTTCTGTGGAGGTTTGAGGTGACGTCGATTCGGTCGAATTAGTAGTTGACGTATCTGTAACACTTGTAGTTGAAGATGGTTCTTCAGTACTCGCTGTTGACCCGGGTTCTGTGGAGGTTTGAGCTGACGTCGATTCGGTCGAACTAGTTGTTGTCGTGTCAGTAACACTTGTAGTTGACGATGGTTCTTCAGTATTCGCTGTTGACCCGGGTTCTGCGGAGGTTTGAGTTGACGACGGATGAGTCGAACTAGTTGTTGTCGTGTCAGTAACACTTGTAGTTGATGATGGTTCTTCAGTGCTCCCTGCTGACGAGGGTTCTGTGGAGGTTTGGGCTGACGTCGATTCGGTCGCACTAGTTGTTGTCGTGTCAGTAACATTTATAGTTGACGATGGTTCTTCAGTGCTCCCTGTTGACGCGGGTTCTGTGGAGGTTTGAGTTGACGACGGATGAGTCGAACCAGTTGTTGTTGCGTCAGTAACACTTGTAGTTGACAATGGTTCTTCAGTGCTCCCTGTTGACGAGGGTTCTGTGGAGGTTTGGGCTGACGTCGATTCGGTCGAAATAGTTGTTGACGAATCAGTAACATGTATAGTTGACGATGGTTCTTCAGTGCTCCCTGTTGACGCGGGTTCTGTGGAGGTTTGAGTTGACGACGGATGAGTCGAACCAGTTGTTGTCGTGTCAGTAACACTTGTAGTGGACGATGGTTCTTCAGTGCTCCCTGTTGACGAGGGTTCTGTGGAGGTTTGAGGTGACGTCGATTCGGTCGAATTAGTAGTTGACGTATCTGTAACACTTGTAGTTGAAGATGGTTCTTCAGTGCTCGCTGTTGACCCGGGTTCTGTGGAGGTTTGAGTTGACGACGGATGAGTCGAACTAGTTGTTGTCGTGTCAGTAACACTTGTGGTTGACGATGGTTCTTCAGTGCTCCCTGTTGACGAGGGTTCTATAGTGCTTATAGTTGTAGATGGTTGAGTCGAACCAGTTGTTGATGTTTTAGTACAAGTTACTCCTTCCCAATCGCAAACTCGCTTATTTTCATTAAAAATTAACTTAACGCCTTTTAACGTTTGACAATCTTTTTCAAATCCGTATGTTCCTATGCACTTATAAAACTTGTGACAATCCGATTCATGGCGAACGTTATTCGTATAGTAAAAGCTATTCTTATGTTTGCACTCTTTTTTTGGCTTGCCAATTTGCTCTTCCGCTTGAACGTTTGCCGAAGATGCTATCACCACGGCAATCAAAAGCAATAGGTCTAAAATTTGTTTTAAAAAAAAAAGATACAGTTCAGTACTATTTATTTCCGAACATTTTATTGCACGTATAATTGCTAGATTGTATATCCCCTCTTCTGTTTAACTCTGAAGTTTTAAATTACTTACTTCGCATAATGGGTACTTCACAACTGCTGAAATAGTAGGTATAATATGTATATGTTCACTTACGGTGTCGAATATATAACTACTGAATTTCGACCACGCAGTATGGCTTTTATAGTAATGTAGCGTTATCGTAAGTTTATTATGCAAATTATCATTTAAACATCTGGTTTTTATATAATACAAGACGATAACCGTACGTTGTGTTTCTATACGCGTACTTAATACTCGATACCTGTACTTACAATTAATGTTTGTATGTAAGTACATTGGTTGATAGTGGTGGTAGTGAATCTATAAGCTTGAAATTAAGATTGCGTGACATCGACCTGTCTATGGTTTTTCTTTGCGATATAAAATTCAACTAATAAAATCATCACCTTCGATCAATGAAAAATATTTTGTCTTCGGCAAATCATTAGAAATCGTGTAACTATCATCATCGTTACGAATGGTGTTATGTACGTGTACATACATAAAAATACGTGTCTAACATTTTTTTATGTACTATAACATATCATAGAAGGGAGAAAATGGATTGGGTACATCTCGGATACTTTCCTTATTAGTGTATGTACATACATGTACTCGACGAATTTTCGAACTCAGTTTACTCGGAAACAAGAGCTCAAACGAAAAAAATGCATTGTATTTTTTCATCTTATTTTCGATAATATTATAGAATTACCCCCTGCCCCGTTGTACTACCCGTTCTGTAACACTTTGTATGTAAAATTTCTCCCTTGATAATTCAATTGTCGCGAATGAAATTGTTGGTCGTCGGAAGGATCTTAATGATTGGTCGATTCGTTAATATTCAGATATAGTTTAATAAGGCGTAATGGTAAAATATATAAAAAATAAAAGAAAACGATAAGTGCAATAGATGCCGTGCGCAGACATACTGGCAACCGATTTTCGAATCTCCAGATTTTTCCAGCCTCGGCGGTATCCCTCAACCCTTAACCGTTTGTCCCTTTTGTCTTTCCTCGTATTCGCCCAGCTATCTCGCGTCTAAACGATTATAAGTATCCGGCAAGGTTACATTGCCCCCTTTATCCAGGCATTCCCAGATCTCCCACATATATGTGGTAACACCGTTCGTGATTTTGTGGAGTGAGTTGTAGATTTTGAAATAAAGGTAGATAAGGTTTTGCAAATACACAGAAGAGAATACGATTATTACGGTAGTACCTGTTAATGATTTACAGACATTTATTTATCTTTATATAGGAGAAATCTTCCTTTCATATATTAAAATTTAACAATATCTAATCCTTCTTTTTACATTCTCCTAGATCGCATTGTGCAACAATGGCATTGAAGTGCGTGCCTTCAGGACATTGGCCTACTAATGGCCCACTATTTGCGCTTTCGCAGTAATAAAACTTATCACAATCTTCATGGGGTTGGTTTCGGTTGCCAACTTCTGCACAATTTGGTGGTTGAACCCCCGATGGCGGTTTTGTTGTCGTTGGTACATCGGGACCTGGTGGTTTAGTGGGATCATCGGAACCTGGCGGTACATTGGGATCATCTGAACAAGGTACACCCTCCCAATCGCAAACTAACGACTCCTCATTAAACACCAATTTGACGTTCTTTATCTCCGGACAATCTATTACGAATCCGTATCCTCCTAAGCATTTGTAAAACTGGTGACAATTCGTCTCATGGCGAACATTATGTGTATTAGTCTTGTTACTGCGACCTTCGCATTCTGCGAGCTTCTTTCCTACGGGTTCATTAAGTGGTATGATTGCCGCTGTCGTTACACCGACAACAATCAGAAACATTAGATCTGAAATTTGCAAAAAGTAAACATAATTCAACAATTTTCGTTCTATAATGTTTATATCGTATATTAGATTTTCAATTGAATATTAATTGTGTAAAATTTCAAATTCGTTGTTCAAGGCGTTGAACGTTTGCTTAAGAAGATAATCGCCTTTAAGAAGTTAGTATAATAGAATAATTGAAACACGTGTTAACCAATAATCATAAATAAATGATGAATAGTTTTATAGCAGTAAAAATTAATCGCTATTCGAAATTCGAAGGTCTTCGCAGGATACAAGATGCTGCCTGTATTTATTATTACAACTTACTGCTTCAATTTTGACTTATTTAGAAAATTTGAAATTACTTACATTTCATGATGGATATCTGCTAACAAATGTACTGAAAGAATGATACACGTTATTGTACCTTTTCAGCTACGAATAAATTTGTATCCGGTAGATCGTCTTTTATAGTCGGTTTATGCTTATCGTTACCTCATTATGAATATTATCATCCTTATCGTTCTACACATTATCATATTTAACATCTGTAGTTTATTTAATATAAAATTATTTTGAATTATTTGCCTTTGGTAACACAGCTACTACATTTCTTTTATTTATTTTTCCTTCTTCTATTTGATAACAAACTTATTATTCAATTCAAAACCTTAGTATGTATTGAGTAAACACAAAAGCGAAATCCGTTCTATACTCTGGGATCAAATTGTTTATTCTAAACGTTTAAGGGGTCGTAAGTAGAAAATGAAAAATAGCGAAATTTAAAGGGAAACAATGAATAGATGTACGCATGTAGATACAAATTAATTGTGTAAGTATCGTCATTTTATACAAAAAATATTGCAAAGTTAAAATCATAGTAATATTATTTATTTTATTTTCAAAGAAAGAAGATCATGTACCTTATATTACGAAGAAAAGAAATAGTAATATATGGGATTCTGTTTTTATTCAGCTTTGTAGCTGGAACATAGTGCAAACAAAATTATGTCGTGATTATACATAAAACAATTAATTTTCTTTTTACTTGCACCAACGGGTAATTTGTGAAAATAAATCGTTTCAATATCCGCGACGTTCTGTTTAATTATCAAAAGCAAATAACAGATTCAAGAATAACGTAACTGTGTTAAGAAATCATCGAGCATATTTGAGAAGCTGTGAAACAGTTAACTAATTAATGTACATGTTGGCGTACACGTGTGTCCACATATGAAACTGCAAGCCTTGAAATTTCGCGTGCTGTTCCCATATAAAAGTAACGTAGGTAAAGTATACCAACGCTAATAGCAAAAATCTATTTACTAAAATTACTTAAAATACAAACGGGTGGTCGGTAGACACTGAACGCCATAGGGGTCATCGATAACCGACACCACGAATTTAATATTGTTAAATAAAAGAATAATATTCAAAGAAAATTTATATAGCAAATGGAAAGCCTAATTGAAGAAATAAAACAATTGAAAATGATTTCTATCCTTTTGACTTGCATCAAAATATTTTTCCGTTTCCATTAATTTTCAAATTTAAGCTTGAATTTTCTACTTTACACTATTTACAGAGTAGCAATGACACTTCAGATTTTTCTCCTCTATCTGTTTTTTATTTATTCGATTACATTAAATTAATTATCTGAATCTAACTTGAAAGAAAGAAGGATGAAGAATGAAAGTTAAAACAAGGATGTTAATTAAGAAGGTAGAGAATAACAAAATATTTTAACGAAGGATTTTTTATGTTAAACCCAATCAATTTTTCTTTTACATTATCGTTATTTCAATGACTGGAACAATTAAATTATATCGAATGATAAAGTAAAGAAATGTGTTTTATTAAACCTACTCTTAATTATTACTCGTTAGAAAAATTCAGGTAGAATATGTTTGAAAAACGAGCTATCTGTCCTGCTCATCGTCAAGTCACGTTCGTCATGACCATACACGTGATCCCTATTACAATTGGCTCGAGCTGGTTCAGTACAAATATGTTCTTGCTCGCTGAAATGAAGATGCGGCGGACAGTTAACAACGTAAGGAGCCCCGGCTCCGCATCTGCAGAATTTCGTACAATTATTATGGGGTAGGGTAAAACTCCTGTCTGAAGGTTCGAGTTTCGGGCAATGACCGATACAATTTTGTGATGCTATGACACTGTCTTCCTTAGGTTCACTGTAACAATGAGAATCCTCGTAATTCAGACAGACCCGCTTTTCGTAATTGTATTCCGTCCCATCGGGGCAAATCTCACGGTAGTGCTGGTTGTTACTACAAACATAATAACGATCGCAGGAGCATTCGTGCGGTACTGTAACACCATCATTCGGACAGGGGAAAGGATCGCAGGTCAAATTTCGTATATTTTCCGGCCAATCGCACATCCGTTTCTCTGGGTTGTAATACATATCTTTGATACAGTCAACGATAGTTCCTTTACCGTTATTGCATTCGCAGTATTGCGTGCAATTTTCATAGGGTATAATTGTGTTACCAGTTGAGGGGCACTGACCAAAGCAACCCGTGGGAGGCCTATATTCACATCGAGCTTCATCGGCAGGTTTGCAAACCTTATCTATGTAATCGAACTCCCATCCATCTTTACACTGTTGTAGCACCCAGTGGTTATCTTGGCATGTGTAATACTTGTCACATTGACATTCGTGAACTATATTGCTTCCCTCCTCGCATACCGGGATAGAACAATTTACATTATCTGGCCAATCGCAATTCTGTGTCCTGGGATTGTACTGAAGACCATCAGGACACTCCTCCACGGTCTTTGAACCATTATCGCACTGGTAATACAAAGAGCAATTTAATTTATGGGGAAAACGATTGAAACCACACTCGCATGGCGGACATTCGTCAGTTATGATGTTCCGAGGAGTCGTGGTCATAGGCTTTATACCACCACAATCTTTACCACTTTCAAAATCACACGATTTTATTGCATCATTGAAGTAATGCCCTTCGTTACACTTTGCAAGTCGCAAATTGCCATCTGTGCATTCATAAAAATAATGACAATCGGATTCGTGAGGGATAAATCTTTCTGGACATCCAACTTTTGTAGCTACTGTGGTTGCCATTTTCTTGCACGTCACTTTATCTGGACTGTCGCAAACTTGCCTGATGTAATCGAACTCGGTGCCACTCGGGCAACTCTGAATTACCTTTAGCCCTTTATAACACTCGTAATATTTGGAACAACTGCAATCGTGCGGGAGACGCCTGGCTTCGTTCGATTCCCTTGGTGGACATTCGGAAGGAGGTTCCACTTTTGGGGAACACGTGCTACTCGGTGGCCAACTACATATACCTTTTACTGCATCGAAGGATAAACCGCCAGGACATTCTTTTTCCGTCTTCACACCGTCGTTGCACTCGTAGTATAAACCACATTCCTTTTCGTGTGGAAGATTTTTAGAACCGATCGAAGGACAAACGATGGGTTGTAATGGATTCAAAGCGGAATCACACTTTGCTTCTTCATCAAACACGCATTTCCTCAGGTTGACGTCGAACATCTCTCCAGCCGGACATTGTTTCAAGACCATTTCTTCGTTTTCACACTTGTAATATTCGTTACAATTTCTCTCGTGCGGGAAATACACGTCGATGTTAAAATCTGACGGTGGACACGTGTCCCAGTAAAGGTAACAGGTCGCTTCCTCCTTCTTCACGCACATCATACGAACGGAATCGAAGTACTGATCCTCGAGACATTTGCTAACAGTCTTGCCGTTCTTGCACTGATAATACAAACTGCAATCGTACGGATGAGGCAGCATAATTTCCTTATCGCTTACTGCAGGACAATCCGGTTCCCGCAGCGTACACGTCACGTTCCACGGCCAATCGCAGACTTGCTTCTCCGGATTGAAGTACAGTTTACGATTTCCTGAATACCCTCTACATGTTTCTAATTGTTTCACGCCATTGTCGCATTTGTAGAACTTGGCGCAATCGTACTCGTGAGGGATGTGGACGACTTCGTTGCTCAGATCTTTCGGTGGACATTCGGTTGAAAACGTACTGGAGTACGCGTTCGCCGCCACTGCCAGCACGGCGAGAATTGATAGTAATTCTAAAAAAGACACAAATAATTTACTGTTCCATCTGACGATTCTTTATTTCTGAATATCTGGTATTCTGTTGTGGATTCGGTTGTCTCACGCTCAAATCAAATAAACCGAGTTACTTATCGAGCTACGATAAGCAAGCAACGATAGAATAACACGTTGATTGTTAGACTACTTTTAGACAAATAAAATTCCTGACATTTGTCGAAAATTTCAAGCTGTATGCTGTGCTCGGCTGGAGATTTTATACCAACGTTTCGATGAAGCTAGTTTACGAAATTTTGAAACAGAAACTCCACATGGACACGAGTCAAACCTAGGAACCTTCGACAAATGTCGTTAGAATAATCGAAAACCGTATAAATCTGAATTGTCTCGAGTGAAATTGTATTACGAATTAACACAGGTCACGAGAATAGTGCATTTAAATTTTTAAATAAAACTATCTTTTTTATTTAAAATTATCTTATCAAATTCATGCCAATTAACTACGGTTCTTCTTCCCTACCCTCATTAATACTCATGATACTCACCTCTCATGACGAGAATAGAAAAAGTGATCTATATCTTAAGATTGATACACTTTCTTAACGGTTATTTGGAACAAACTGACAAATTTTAAGTACACAAAACAGCTTTTATAAGAGAAATGTCTTATCACCTATCGATTTATCGTATCAAACCCCTACTGATGGAGCGCCCGATATCTTCAATTAATTTTTGACAGTTAATACTTTGAACCTACGAGTCATGCATTTGATATGCATCTGTGATATAATCATTTTGCGTAGAATACCTAGACCTTACTTCTGATTAAGTTAGCGATCAATTACCGACTTAACCGCATCCAAAATGCATTCCTACCCTTTAATCCTTTTTGTACCCTTTATAAAAAAAATGTAAATTATCAGTCCTAATCAAAAACTCGATGTATACATATATTAAACGGACAATAAGTCGTACAAATTAAAACAATTGATGTTTCCTAATTAACTCCATGGCATACAATGGCGTCTGGAAGATGTTGCCTGTTTCTTATCTCATTCTCGAAGTTGATGTTTTCGAGACATTTCTAAGCTTCCATAACTATTCCGGTGGGTCAAACTAATAGGTATTTTTGAAACGCACCATATTTCATTTGATTCGTACTTATGTCAAGGGATTAATGAATGGCGGAAAGAAAATCGACATATCGGGCAAGGAAATTCAATTTTCTGACTAAAGCTTATCAATAAAAAATTACCTTGAGAATTTCTCAAATTATTAACTGATAACAATATCGTAGGAAACATAATCGCGAAAAGATTTAATCGGGAATTGCTTTCGTAGACTAAAACACGATTAAAGTTTACCGGAAACGTAAGAAATACCGATTTCGTAATAAATA